GACCGGTCAACATAACTTGACCTGTTGTTAATCGAATCGGTGAAATTGAATATGTGGATGGCGTTTGTGGCCGGTTTATTTTAAGTTTAGCGATCCTGTTTTCTACTCTTTCTCGGTGACGATGATAATGTTCTTCGAATCGTTGAAGATTCGTTGCTGTTTACTATTTTGTTTGTGATCGTGTATGACCTTGCTGTTTGTGACTATTGCTGTTTACTGTTCTGCTTTCCACAAACACTTAGAAAGACAGAAGACGTCAAGAGCTAAAACAGTGATACAGAAAGCACCAGCCATACACTAACAAAGAAAACATAGAGTCAGACACAGAAAGAGCGAAGTGAGATTCTTCATTGGGGTTGCTTACTGACTTTTTTCGCGGGCGGAGCTGCGCTGGCTGCACCTGCTTGTACCTGATTATTGCTGTCAACATTGCGCACTGCTGTGACGTATTCATGGGAGATCTGTGCTTACGTGGCACTATGTTGTGATCGGTTCTCGCCAGGCTCGACTTTGGGCTACTGTACGCTGTCATGGACAGAGGGGAGATGCCTGAAGGAGGAGTGGGACGAGAGGGAGATCTATCTTCGATGACATTGATGGACACTTTCTCTTCCACCCTCTAAGTCTTAGCTCCCTCCTATCAGCTTCATCCCTTGGTTACGAGACATTGTACTTCGGATCACATTCACTGCTGCAATGTGTTGCTGGCGCCTCTCTGCTCTTGGCGCCAGTTGTATGGTTGATTGCTGACGTGGCGCTAGCCACATATGTCTTCAACTCAGATTGGGGAATCGACGAGGAGGGAGATCAGGGTTGTGAGATTGGTTGTGAGAGAGAAATTCTTACCTGATTATTGCTGTCAACATTGCGCATTGCTGTGACGAATTCATGGGAGGTCTGTGCTTATGTGGCACTATGTTGTGATCGGTTCTCACCAGGCTCGACTTTGGGATACTGTACGCTGACGTGGACAGAGGGGAGATGCCCGAAGGAGGAGTGGGACACGAGGGAGATCTATCTTCGATGACATTGATGGATACTTTCTCTTCCACCCTCTAAGTCTTAGCTCCCTCCTATCGGCTTCATCCCTTGGTTACAAGACATTGTACTTCAGATCACATTCATGATTATTGGAGAGATTGACTTCCGCTGAGACATCTTGTACTTCAACATTGGCGAGTTTAAACTGGGTTCATTGCAAGAGCTACCAGGTGACCCGTAGGCAGAAAAAGAGGAAAGAACAAGAAACCAGTGGGGCCACAACCGACTGTTTGTTTTGGTCAGACTTCCAGCCACTCATCAGGTGGCTATGCTTCGTCATTGACCAATCCAGCAAGCCGTTTCATTCATGAATTAAAAAAAGAGGCAAAGTGTCGGGTGAGGAGCATGCAGGAAAAAGAAGCCTTTTCAAACGAGCAGAGAGAGACATGTGGCAGATGGATCATGGATAGAATGGGTAGGCTATCGGAATAGAAGAGGAACACCAGAGCAGAAAACATGAAGTTGTGTCAGGACTGAAGTGGGGGCTGGGGGCAAGCAGTTGATGAAAGAACGACCATGGCCTGCCGTGCACTAGTCTGATTGAAATGTCAACCAGTAGTGAGAAGAGATGAAAGCATTGGGAGTCCAAACGCAAACTGCCCTCAAACAAGTTGAGGAAAAGATGAACCGGGAAGCCGAGACCGGGGAAGGAGAAGAAGGGCAGGGAACGGGGCCGGCTCCAACTTGAAGTGACAGGAAGGAGAAGAGGAAGCACAATTGAACGGCGGGTAGGATACTGGCTCAACACGTTTGTTTTCACACCGGTTCAATGCTGTTGTCTCACTCACAGTGGATCCAACGGCTATCACAATGTGGCAACATTGGATCCAACAGCTATCACAATGTGGCATACTCAGTTCCACACGGGCCCTGCAGGGCCTGACCGTAGGGTTAGGGGTTTTCGTAGGGTTTAGGGCTCATGTCATTTAGACTGTGTTAGGCCCCGTAGGACCCAGTAGGCTACTAATTCATTTCGGCAACTTTTCACCAAGTTCCTACTTTTGGCATCTTTTGCCAGACTCCTGCTTTTGGGTGCAGACCGTTTCGTGTTTTCGTTTTGGCAACTTTGGGCGGCAGACCATTTCGTATTTTCGTTTCGGCAACTTTGGGCACGAGAACTTTTCATATTTCGTCAGGTTCCTACTTTTGGCACCAGAAAAGTTCCTGCTCCTGGCTCCGGACCAGTTTCCTTTCGACCTAGGACACTAGGCCCAGCGTTATATATAGTTGGGCCGACCTCATTCTGGGTAGGTAGTTCGGAGTAGTTCTCAGAGGTAGTTCTGAGACAGTAGCGAATAGTCTTCAGCTGTCCACGCGCTGGGCACAGTTAGAGTAGTCCACAGCGCTGGGCGCGAGCTAGGAGTTGGAGCGCTGCTGCTGCACTGCACACAGAGAGAGAGAGAGAGAGAGAGAGAGAGAGAGAGAGAGAGAGAGAGAGAGAGAGAGAGAGAGAGAGAGAGAGAGAGAGATTGGCAGAGGCCAGGCTGACTTACCTGTGACTTACCTGTGACTTACCTGTGACACCATAACTCCAGCTTCGACTTCAGGACGTCCGCACGTCCATCAAGGCGGCACCTTTCTGCAGGTTAGTACCTGGTGCGAGGAACGAGCCCTCACAGGGGCCGTTATCAGGCAAACACATGTTCTAGGCAGAGGCCCCCAGCAAGCCGAGTGCCTGCCCTAAGTGAAAGCGGGCCTGAATATTCATCAGAGGCCAAAACTCGACATTTTCATATATGGGTATTCAGGCTGTTGCAGCCTGCCAGTTGGTTGAGTGGACGTGCGAGCCTCCCTAAGCCGTGTCGTACAGTTGGCCCAGGCCTTGGCAGTTGTGGCTGGGCACATACACACAAGCAGGGCCGATACATCATGAAGTAGCCACAGGCCTATGCAAAAAGCAGTATTGTCGACGTACCTACCCCAGGGTCCTGTGCAATTGCAGCAAACGGCCCAAGTCCGGAGACTCAGGCCGTGTCCAACTGTAAAGGGCCCAGGCCCTCAACTGTAGTCTCGGGCCTGGGCGCAGGAACTAAGGCCCAACCGGAATCTACTGGAAGCTTCCAGCCAGGCCACACGCAGCATCCATGTGGCTGGCACTTCCATTTAGGAAGTGAGGCAGCCCAGGCCAGGCATTATGGTCCGCGCAGGCAATGTGGTCACGCTGCTGCGGTGCTGCATTGGATGCTGCGTTGCGGTCAGTGCGCTTGCATGGCGTGTGGAGGTGAAGTGGGGCGCTGCTGGGCAGCGGAGCCCTAGCAGCCATAGCCGGGCTGCAGGGCGCTAGGGGGTGAGCGGGCGACTGGTGGTCTTCAGGAAGGAGGCGAGTGTGTGAGCGATCGAGGTCTGATGAGGGTGATGAGATACGTACCTGGTGCATGAAGAGAGGTCGGCTATGGTGTTCACATCATGTACATTGGTCTTCGAGAGTCGAAGTGAGCCTGATGCGTGAATACAGTTGTAGGTGGGATAGTCGAGTAGAGTAGGCTGGTGTGGCATACTGCGTAGCCACACGGGCCTGCAGGGCCCATCCCGCATTCTCAGCCTAAAAGCCTAGAAATAAGGGCTTATAGGCCCCATGTCGTTTCAGCCTGAAAGACTGAAAACAAGGGCCTGCAGGCCCTATGTCGTTTCAGCCTAAAACAGGGCTTTTCAGCCCTGAGTCTTTTCAGCCTGAAACGGAGGGCCACTTTTGGGCCCTCATAAGATCGACCTGCCCTAACACTCAGGCACAAAACCAG